AGCTGACATCAGTTACATAAGGCTCGTGATTGGAGGAAGTCTGTTTGCAGAGACAAGCTATTTCACCCGTGATTGGAGGCTAGTGATAGGAGGAAGCCTATCTGCAGAAACAAAGTATGGGCAGTTTCGCAACCACGCAGTTCTCTCCTTGGCTTACTTCCTTGCATAAGACGCCCTTCAATTTTTAGTGTAACGGTTTTAGAAAAAAGTATCGTCTTATAGATGGAAAAATATGGTACTTTGATGCCAGGACTCAGACTCCAAAGTATATATTACTTTTTACAAAGTAAATTGCTTTTCTGGCCTATCTTCTCCCAAGTGAGCATTTAGATCAAACAAAAGTGACTAAGAAGAACAATTCAATAAATTGATGTAATGTCTGAACTTGGATCTCTATGCAGCCCAATTAAGATTGGTTTCCAGTGAATCTTCAACTCAGATGCTCGGCTGATGAGATATTTGAAAGATGCTTGTAGGCTGTATGCATATCCATTGGCTAGGTTCATACAACACACTAATCCTAAATTGGGATTAACAAAACATATTAACTGTGTTTGCATAATATTTATTTTATTGGACTACATGACTCCCAGGAACTCTGGGTAGCTTACATCTCTAACAGTAGGAAACAGAAAAATGAAAGAAAGAAAGAAAAAACCCGTACATCTTATGCAGTGTCCAAACAAATGAGGCCATATTATAGTTTAACATGATGGCCTGATTCACACAACATCGTCAAATAATGGTTGGGTTCTAACAAAATGCTGAACTTTAATTCTCCTTCCCTCCTTTTTAGCCATTTTAGTGGGTTCATGGTGTTATGTGACCCAGTCTCTAGGTCAGCATTTGGGGAAGACTGGCTTCCTCCCACCCCAAAAAGAATAAAGATTCTTGAGGGATAGTTTCTGTCTCTGCACATTCAGACATCTTAGGTGGAGTTAATTATACAAGAGAAGGGTAGCTAGTATATTCAAAACAGGATTATTCTCAAGCATAATTTTTTCTTTCCAAAATTATGCATGAGCCTCATAGGCTTTCTTAGAAAAAAAAAATTGTGGGAGGCTAACACCCAGTGTTTTCTTTGAAATTATGTCCACCTGAGAAGATGATGAGAAACAACTTTCTGGAAAACCACAGGCTTCCCATTCCCTTCCCTAGGATTGATTTCCATTTGTCTTGAATTTTTTGTTACCTGTGTCCACATCTGTGTATCGACTCAGTGAACGTTCTGATGTACGGTGGGTCCGCTCCCGTCGGCGGTGATGTCGCTGGCTGTCCTCTGGGATTACTCTTTCCAGAGAATAATCATCCAAGCGTGTGCCTTTGGAGCGTGAGTGGCCCAACATGGAGGCAGAGCGTTTCATGGGACTTGTATCGGCAATGGTCTGGAGAGGGATAGAAACCCAGTATAATAATATCAGTGGAGCCTTACAAGAAAACAAAAGCCAATGGATTTTGTGAAGTGTGGGATAAAGTTACAGAAATAGGCTATTATTCAGCCTAAATGTACTTCAGCCAGAGAAATAGAAATATACCCCATCAGAGTGATTATCCTGTACATCTTTCTACAACACCTAAAAAACTATGGGATATACAAAACTGTTGATACATATACCACTCTCTTCTTGCATTTACTCTGTGCCTAAATTATGGATTAGAAATATCTTGTTCCTAACAGCTGACACTCCCTCCTTTTCCAATAAGGTCAGGAATACATTATGAATGTAGCTAAGAAGAACGTGGTTGCCATGTTGCATTCCCCTCTTGAATGAGCTAGAAAAGGAGCATCAATTCAGCAGAAGCTTTTTTGGCTATGGATGCTATTAAATGGAGATAAAAGCATACATTACTTTCTCTGGTCAATGTCATGAAAGAGCTTTGGCCAAAGGAAATACCTATGAAGAGATTACCTACCCCAAGAGAAAGAAAACTTATTTACAACCTCAGATTAAACAAATTAAATAGTATTCCATAAACCCTGTAATGCAGTTCAAACTCCCAGAGATAGAAATATTGGAGGGAAGAGGCAGCAATGAAATGAGCTTTGTACCAATGCAACCCAGGCTCTGCCCCTTTTGTACATGTGTTGCTTGCATTGTCGTGTTGCAATGTTTGTTTCATCACTCTGATGAAACCATCAGATTCTGTGATGCCTCTGACCACAGACTGCCATTGTGTTGCTCTTTCCATGTTTTTCTTTGCCTCTATAATTCCTTTGCGTCATAAATCACATCATCTCTTTCATGAATCTGGGTAGAATCTTAATCACAATGAGGAAAATTAGGTTTAAAAATCTTGACCAATCTGTCTGAAGTCTCTTTTTAAATGAGTATGAATATATGCTTATATTCTGGATGCCAATATGTTCATTCATTATGCTACTGAGTGTAATTGCTCCATAAGAAGAAATACTAATAGCTATTAATTCTGCTGCATGGTTTGTTGAATTCTAGCTATCATTATTTTGTTCCAGGACCTGTAAACTCACCACAGGATAACAATTTAGTCCAAATTTCGTAGTACTTTAAGACTGGAACCAGCAACAATCACATAGATTTTTTCCTTCCCTCCTCACTCTTGTCTAACTACTGACTTTTAATTCATTTCAGGAATATGACACAGAAAATCTGGTTTGAAGGGTCTTTCCCCTGTTTCACCTAACCATTATAGAAACATATTCTGGCAACATCCTTTTTCTGCCTATTCCCCAGGATGTTACCTTCACCTCCTCCTCTGTCCATGAATGAGATTGGCTTAAATCATCCTCAGTTGTGCTCTTGTAGCTTTTCCATTCTCTGATGCTTTCTATCAGTTCAGCTTATCTCCACATTTTTTCTTGAATGATGGGCACATTTTTGAACAACACACTATGTTTGACTACTCCCCATTTTAACTTTCTAAGAGCATCTATAGGGCCTATGTAGAATTCAGAGGAATTTTTGTAAATAAAGATTATGCTGGAGACTGGTGCTTCACAGCTTGCCAATTTCTTAAGTAATGTTTTTCCATTCAAAGTATATAAAAAATAGGTGGAGCTGGAAGTTTGGCATGTTTCAAATGGAGAGAGTGTCTCCAGAAACACATGAGAACCACTTTGCCTCCCATGGTCTCAGACCAAAGATGTCAGAAGGCGATCTTGTAACCCAAAAACAATAAATGCAAGACAATAATTTAACAGAAAAAGAAACATGGAAAATTCTGTACAGGGGAAGTTTCCACCCACATACACATAGCCACATATTGTCTTTTATTTATGTTTACTGCTCTTCATGTCACATATATCAATCTCAAAAATTGTCAGGTTGGGCTCAGCCTGACACTTTGATGCATTTACTCTCAGAGGAGCAGTTCACTATGCTTCAGAACTGCTCACCAGAAACACTCAAAAAGTTTATACAAAAGTAAGCCTTAGCAAGGAAAAGGAAAGAGCAAAACCTTGTAATCATTGTAGGATTTATGCTCTCTTTTATTCATGGAAGGCTTTTGACAATGCTGAAGCTTTGGGAATGGGAGGGAAATGATCTTGCAAATTCCTTTTTTTTTTTCTAATTCCCCATTTCCCAACCTCCTGGAGAAGATTTAGGAGGAAGGTACAAGGAAAATGTCATCCTTGCTTCCAGTCACAGAAACCTTCACAAGATGATCAAAGACTCTTTTCTAAATAAAGGATGTACAAAATCTTGAGTACAAAACAGAGTGTTATTTTAAAATATCATAATGTGAAAAGTATTGCATTCTACTAATGTGAATTAGGTTTAGATTTAAAGTACATTTAGAAATTACAAATCTATATAGATAAAATGCAACATGCATTAGTCATTGGTAGGTTAATAAAGACAAAAGCAACAGCATATAAGAATGTACTGTATTTCTGTTGTACACTGAGTTGAGATTTGTAAATCTAAAATTGACCAAATAATATTTGCATATAGTAATCTGTAACACTGTTTATCTAAAGTTTTATAATATACAGATAAGGCTAGGTGATTTGAGGGGTGGGTGGAATCATCTGAAATTATGTTGTCACATTCTCACAAAATAGCTGCAGTGTGGAAGCTTACTTATTCATGAGAAGACTGCCAAGATAGATGTGGTCAGCCCTAAACACCTATTTACCAGAAGACAGAATGCCAAGATTGTCTCTTATCATCCTTCTAGTCATCCCACTTCCCACCCATCCCTACTATCTTCTCATTTCAATTTATCTTTTTTCTTTCTGCGCAAGAGGCATACTTCCAAGTCAAACACTGTCTTGCATCCGTTCACATAAAAAACCCAAACCATCTAAGAATGCCTATGAAGTCATTCTGGTACATAAGGTTGATGATGGCAGCTGATGCTTTACAGCATTGGAAAATATTAAAATAATCCTGTAAAAGATGAAGTCAGGTGGGTGGGATGAAAAACTGGTGGCTGCCAAAGAAAATACCTTAGCCAAACTGCCTTCTCTGTGTTATGGATTTATATATTTTTAATGTTTTTCTTTTTGTGAATGTGTCCATTGTGTTCCAAGCAAGAAGTGCATTTAGGCTTTACTGCCTAGTTAAAATTAAGACTTGCAAGTCTCAACCTAATAGTGGAATATTTTCCTAAAAAAAAAATCTGTTTTGATCAAAATATGTTTGAGATTGCAAAATGCAGAAAAAGGACAAAATAGAAAAGTAAAAGTGGAACCCTGGAATTTTTAACAAATCTTGAATATTTTTTTCTTTATTTTTAATGCTTTATTGTAATTTCTTTGTTTGATTGTTGTGAGACACCCGGAATTGTTGAAAGTTGGGCAGCATACAAGTTTAATAAATTATTATTATTATCACTCATGAATTCAAGCATCCATAGACAGTAAATCTGTAGAGTCTAGAATACCATTCAGTGATATGTTCAAGTTGCTCCCACTCTTTTTGCTTCTAGGAAAGGAGTTGAAATCTTTCTCCTTACCCAGGATTGTTCGGCTTGAATTATTAATTGTGATTTTGACTGTTTTTTATTTTATTTTTTTATCATTAGCCATCTTGACTGTCCTATGAACAGAAAGATTCATACAAATTGTATTATCATCATCCTCATTTGCATCACCTTGCCTGCATAACTTTTGTATTATCTGCCATATTATGAGTATGGCTGTTCCAGAACTGACATAATATGATTTTCTACACTATCTTAAACAACGTCCAATATAGTTCACCACATTTCTTCTAGAAAGGAATGGCAGACCTGACTGGGTATATAAGTAATAATATTTCTTTGAGATAATTCATCTCAAAAAAAAAAAATGGGAACCAAAGGCTTTATAAGCTAAAAAGTAAAGGGTGCTCATATGAAATATGCCCCCAAGTGGCGGGGCAATACAAAGCAGCTATCATTATCTTGAGCTGTATTTATAAATCCCTCAAACATGAATTGGTCAGTTAACAGTTGCTTAAATGCTATTCTCCGGGCAAAGCATTCCTTTAATTTGATAATAGGAGAAAATGGCATTTTCTTCCCATTAGCATATATCTCAATCAAAACAGTCCAGAAATATCAGAGAAGACTGGACTTACTATGCCTGTTGCTATATTTCTGTTGTTGTTTTAAGTTTTCAGCATAGTCTAGCTAAACTTTAGGGAAAGAAAATATACTATTTTTCATACATAATCAACCATGTTTCTTAATCAATTGTAAACAGTGTGTTCCATTCATTATGTTTGTCCAGAGCAACTGGACAATCAACCGTCACCTTGGAAAAGCTAACACTGCTTCACTATATTATACAGGGAAACGAAGGGTTTGCTCAGACATGATTGCGCTTGAAATACCAGAGAAAAGAAACCAGTTTCCTGATTCCCTATACTGTTTTGAACAAGTAATACAGGCTTGGAAATAGAAACTTGATGTTCTAGTTTCAGCTCTTCCTGAAACCCCAAATTATCAGCCTTGTTCATAATCCCTCCTTACTATTCGACTGTTTCTGATCCACAGAGGAAGAGAGAAAGAGAGAGAAATTACTCACTTGTAACTGGTGTGCTTTCTGATGTCTTTCCCCTTTTCCCACCTAGAGGACAGATGCATATGCAACCAGAAGCCTCTTCCCAGTAGAAAACTGTTGGAGTTGCCTCCTGAACATGGGACTGCATGTGCATGGTGAACCACAATTGTAACCAAACAAAGATTGCAGAGTTGCTAAAGACCCTTTTGTCTTCATAATCCCATTAGGATCAATTTATTTTGGATAGTTTTCTGAGACAGATGGGAAGACATGATTATGGAGATCTGGGGCTGAGAATGGACAGAGATAATCTTAAAGAACATCAGCTACAAGTGAACAAGCTTTTCTTCTTCAAAATGTGTTGCCCATTCCTAATGGGGCATAGGAAATGAGAACAGCAGTATCTCTTCCAAAATG